TCTTGCTTGAAATCCTCAACTTGATTGAAGTCAGTATCCAAAGCTTTGGCCGGAGTGTCAGTTGAAATGGAGCAAGTTGGATCCAGTGCAGTCGAGGAGGTGTGGCCCATTTTCTTTCCAGAGTGTCCAGGGATTGCTGTCAGGCAGGTCTTCATTGGCTGTGTGGGACTCAAGCATAAACAGTTGGCAGAGAAATGTTTGCTTGTGTATGTACACATGCTGGGGAATGCAACCATGAGAGGATAACAATTATGAGAGGGTGTACACCTTGAGAGAAAGATCCAAGAAAAGACAAAGACAGTCCCTAAATTCTTCTTTTATTCTGTATTACATCAATTGGCTTCTTGATACAACACAGAAACACTAAAGTTTAGTTAAATAACGTGCTTGGATTTTAGAGGACTTGCTTATGCCTCAGATTGCTTGGCAAATCTCACTAAGTATTACTCAAAGTCAAACTAATATGGTGTGTGATCACAGACTCACCAGTGCCAACATGGATGAAGACACAAGTCAATGGTTCCGTTTTTTCCCAGTTACTTTAGCTCTGCCTTTTAAGGTTAGGGCTAGGAATAGGGTTAGGGTTTCCTCCAGCTACCTGAACTAGTTTCAAGAAGCACATTTTAGGGCTATTTCATAGTTGTCTTCCTTTGTGTTTGTTTTATATGCTAGAAGATATGGGGAGTGAGTTCAGAATATGGGTTATCAAGATGACCATGTAAAAGATAAAAAAACATTATCTTTTGATATTTCTAAATGCCAAAACAGTTTCATCTAAAGAGTATTTTTTAAAGTGGCCATTTCTAACCAGCTGTTCTGTGTATATAAAATAACTGAGAGGTTTCTTTCCTCATCCCTGTGGCAAATCTTGGGAGAAAACGTGTCTTAAGCATGAAGATTATACAACTCTGTGAATTTATTTAATGATACCAAAATGCACCTTTTAAATCTTGTGCTGTGTGTGTTCCCCCATGATGGAAAACTATGATTTTAAACATCTAATCAATTATAGAATAGATTGTCCTATGTGACACAGGTAATATTTATATTGATTGTCATAAATTTATGGGCAAAGAATATTAATCTATGTCACTGAAGTATACAAAATCTATTATATTTTATTTTTCCTGAATAAAATTGAATTTTGGGCTCTGAGCTTACATCTGCTGGAAGGGACTGTGAAAAATCAATTGTTTTGTGTTTGAGGGAACTCACTTCTAGGGACATTTAAATTTGTAAGTGAGATTTACATCAGGCCAGGCAAACCAGAGGACTTGTATTCTGTCCACAGGGCACTTCAGTGACATTGGCCTAGGGTGCAGCTCTCCAGCTGTGGCCTTCCCCTCCTGTCTAGCTCCTATGTTTGGTGGTCATAGACAAACTTCTCATAATTACCCTCACTGTTGATCTGAGTCATGGCCAGAGGGATACCTGCTACCCTTCTTCAGTGCTAATTTCCAGTGTCCATAGGGCTTCAAAGCAATCCTTCCACAGTTCATCACTGCAAAAGAGATGTTGTTTGTTTGTTCTGTTGCCCAAAGGTTCACAGAAACTCACAGTTCTTTTGCCTCAGAGAAGCATACCCCACTTTGGTAGCTTCGTTTGACTGCTTCACTCCAGCACTCAACCAGCCCATATTCGCAGGCAAAGCTTTGTAGGAGGGTGATTGAAATCTGTGTGCCTAATAGTTTTGACTTTTGTGCCCATGGAATTTTGAAAGCAAGTGATCTGAGACTCAGAATAGAATGGTGTAATTTTTTTTTAAATGTATGGGTAGTAAAAAATGAGTTCAACTTGTATGTGTTTCAGGACAGCCAGGGTGACACAGAGAGACCCTGGAGACAGAGAGAGAGAGAGAGAGAGAGAGAGAGAGAGAGAGAGAGAGAGAGAGATGCATAGATTAGTATCTACCATAAAATAGTTGCAAGTGTGCCTTTAGAGACAGATCTTGGGTGTGAATCTTGACTCAGCTACTCACTGGCTGTGTGTCCTTGGATAAGTTAATTTTTCATGTGTAATAATGCAACAATACTTTTTTTCATAAACTGACTTGGAAAAATAAGTAACTTACTATGATTAAATCCTTGAACCAGTAAATCTAGTATATAGAAAGTGCTCAAAATGAAGCTATCAGGAAGCTATCGTGGTAAGTCATTATATGTACCACCAAGACTGGTCATTTAGAGTTTTAATCCTCTGGAGCTCTGTGCCTATCTCCCGGTCAGGAACACAGGAAATGGGGAGGGGGATCCCCACCAGGATAGCTCAGGGACACCTCATCTGAGTTCAGGCTAATTGCCAGACCAGTAAGTAGAGCTGTTTTAAACCACTTAGCTAAGAAAGGCAAGCCCAGATTGGAATCAACTAGGCTACCTACCAAATTCTTAGAAGAATAAGTTTGTGTGGAACCATTAAATTTGGGATGTTTGTTATCTTGCTAAAGGTAGCTGATTGGGAGGATCACACTTGGGAGTCTAGATGGGCCAGTTCTGGAAATGGCACCCACCACTTCACTAAATCAATCACACAGTTTCTCTAACTGCAAGGGGAGACAAGACAATGTAAAGGAACCCATAAACGGAACAAATTGGGTGCCAAGAACTGCTGGTCAATATCTGCCACACTGATTTACCTTTACTCTATAGAAGAAGCCCTAGGTGGTAATCAGAGTGCAACAACTTTCTAGGCTGGTTCCTTGAGCCAGGCCACTAGATAGTCATTTTCAGTGTGTTTGGCACTGGAGATAGGAAAAGGGAAGTGGGGTAGATGTTCTGCCTTTGGAGAGGCTGACGAGTAAATCATCTTCTGTCAAGGGTCACCTGAGAAATAAAAAAGGAACCTGTGGGGATTTTTAATGCTGTAATTCTCTTAGAAGCAGAGCTGTTTATTCATTCTTACTGTGCAGGAAGTCTGGAGCCTCTGCCTTTGAGAGTGTTAGGGACACAATTTGTTTTCTGCCCTATAGGTCTAACTGCACTTACCTCAGGCTCAGAGAAGTGAGAAAAGGGTAGCTTAGCTCAATTTG